GAGGGGGGGCAGGGCGGTGATGTGCGGCATGACAGCGGCTCCAGGCTCCGCCCCGTGGCCATGAACGTCACCACCCCGCCCCCCTACGCCTCCTGCGGTGGCGCTCCGCTGACTTCTGCGCTGCTTAGCCAGGCCGCCGTGTGGGAGCAAGCGGCGCAAGCGATCATTTGGGCTCCGCATCCCCCACGCAGCACGGGGAGTGCATAGTCCAAACGGCCATTTGGGGTCCACGGTCCCCCGAGTGAGAGGCAGGAGGGGGAGGAGAAGTGAAAGAGAGAGACGGAGAGAGGCAGGAGGCAGAGGAGAGCTGAGAGAGAGAGAGGGGAAGGCAGTAGGAGGAGGAGAGAGAGAGACACGGAGCGAGAGACCGGAGGGTCAGGAGAGAAGACCGACATGGAGGAGAGACTTGAAAATCCTGTCTTATGACGGATTAATTGGCTAGTTAGTAATGTTCATGTACAAATATAATTTAAAGGCATACATTTTCAAAAATGACTTGTGTTTTTGGGCATCCAGAAACTGAAGCACCCGAAGTAGCTAGTTGCTACTGAAATCCTAGGTCAGATTGTCCATTTACAGCTTTGTCAGGTACAACATTTCCTAAAAAGCACACCATCACAGTATTACACATAAAACTAGATGATGCCAAGACTTTTCCATCTGTTAAATAGTCTAGCAATCTTCTCCTGGTGTTTAAAAGATGTTTCCTACACTGAAAAGTACTTGTATAAAAAATCGCACTCTGAAGTTCCATGTTTATTTCATTACAAATGCTCCCTGTCATATTTTCTCATTTTATGAATGAAAGGATGTATTTTTAGCCAATAGCACTGCAGACTCAACGTTCATCTCAAAGTTCATTCTAGTTAATGTATGAATACCATTTAATATCAACCAGTAAAAGATTCTAAAGTGCAATTCTGCCCTAATTTAAAAGAGGGTTGCAAATTTTATCATGGTTAGAAGCTGACTGTAACTAGAACTCTCTCATACTGTGTAGGCTTTGCAGTGAGAAATGGAGAAAATACTAGAGAAAGCTTATTCTGAAGTCAACAGGTCTGCAATCTGTGTGTGATGCGTATATATATTATAATGCACTAAACTATTTTGAAATGAAATGTTCTTAAATATACATAGAGGGTTTGATTCTACCAAGTCTACGGTACAGGATCAAAGAGGCAATCTGTTGAATAAGAAGGTGCCATCTTTCCTAGTCACTTCTCAGAGAAAAATCATATTCCAAATGTAGTGGTACACTAAGAATAAGTGATAAAATATAATAAGCCATTATTAAAGAATAATTAAATAGAAGAAAGCCCATGTAACTGCACCATTAAAGTTAGTGTTCCCTGAAAAAGAGAAATTAAAATGTTTCCCAGCTGATTACGAGAGCACCCACCGCTAAATTTTGTTTCTCTATTGGTGGTGTACATTCTATATGCCCCAGTGAACATAAAATGTATTTCGCACACGGATGGAAAAAAAATCCCCAGATGGATAGAGAAGATTAGAGGAAACATTGATTAAGGTACACATTTTAAAAATCCAAATGATGAAAGTAAAAAATACGTATTCTCAAAGCAATTTTAAAGCAAACATTGTCCAGACAGAAGAATCTCACTTGCTCACATTAATTATGGAGACACTCAACAGAGTATAGACTTTCCCAATTTTGGAAGTAAATGAATAAACAACATATACAATCGAAGAAATGGCATAATAAAATAATTGGTTTATTTAATTTTACATGTGCAGCTTACTTTTGATAATTTTTGATAACACACAGTTACTAATAAATATTCTGCAGACTGCTGTGATATTCATTGAGTAATAATTGTAGATTTAATATAATTTCTCCAAAATCTAAGTTTTAATTTAAGATGTGGAGGAAAAAAAAGAGCTAGATCCTTGAGGTTGGGTCAAGCTATACTTATTACAAGATCCAGGATGGTTATGCATGGATCCCTGACCAAAACGGAGCCCTAACCGGATCCTGACATAATTTAGAACAGAAATTTTGCCACCTAAAACAGTCCTCTAGGGCCTGTTCTGCTGGCTCAGAAGTCTTGTAGTGCAGAGTGCTTTGGACTCCAG